CACTTCGAGTAAATGTTGTTGCAGTCGGAAAATAACATAAATATGTATAAAGCGAGACTGTTGCAGACCAGAGAGAGAGCGCAATAAATTCTCAAAAATATATATTATCCCAGCACGAGGGCTGACAGCGCGACCACGCTGCGTATGAGTGATATTTGGGGAACTCAGGGAACTCGAGGAACTGGAGGCGCCCCAAAAGGTGGCAAAAAGTGAGAAAGTCGCACGCAGACGGTCAAATATGCGAACAAATAAACTTTAACAAGGCTCAGACATTAACTTGATGCGAAAATGGCAGCACACATCAAAATAAGTTTATGTATTTGCAGTGAAAATAAGTTACAACTCTCTTGAGTTGCACAAAATTCTTAAGAAACTTTTAAAAAACTTGACAGTTTTTGCATTCGAAATAAATTCTTCTTTAATTTAACTAACTATTTCAAGAACTTTACATATCATATATATTCATTATTAGAAAACCCATTGTATTATACAAACACATCCTTGAACCTTTACTTAATATTTTATATATTAATGGCCACAAAAATTTCCCAGAACTGGAAATAATTAATTTCATTCTTCACTTGTCTTCCCAGAAGACAAGAAGCACATTGATTGATTTACACACAAAATAAAAGCAAACAAATGAAACTTAATAATTGATTGACCCTTCAGAGTGGGCACTGAGACATCTCAAGCGAAACTCTGTGGCTCCAATTACACCTGACATTTTTGGGGCGTCAGCTTCCGCCACCTGTCACAGGTACACTCACTCGCACAAATGCCGCCCAATTACACATCGCTGGCAACAATAATAAACAGCGATCCGAGGGCCAAATTGAAGCTGGCACAGCGTTAACAAGGCCAAATCACAGCCCAGCCATATTACACTTATATATATTATATATATACAGTACGATATAGGGGAGGTCCTGCGACAATGGCACGTTATATCATATGGCTTTCATTTTAGCCAGTGTTTGCCAAGCTCATATGCAAATTCAGTTTTGCCTTTCATAAAACCCGCACATCAACTTTTTATAATGCCTGCATATGCCAATGAAGAGGTCGTAACATCCCGCCAGCAGGGGCTACAATGGCAAACAAGGAAGAGGGGAAAACTGGGGGGAAAACTGGGGGGAAACTGGGGGAAAACTGGTGAAAACTGGGAGAAAGGAGAGCTGGGAAAACAGAGTACAGAGAACTGAGAAGAACAACAACAGGCCGCAATCAATTTCCCGCCTCAATTTTCCTCAATTTAATGTTTTTCTTATCGCTTACTCTGTGACGAGTACGCATAAGGGAGCTATTTCTTTGAAGTAATTCAAAAGGTGTCATTGGTTTTAGTTATTTAAATATTATAGAAACTATTTGTTCACAATGAACTAGGTTATTTATTAAAATATTAGACCAAACTAAATTTACATAAACAATACATCTTGTATTTATTATTCCTCCCCTTGGCCACTATTATTTTGTTCTGTGCTGTGTGGGAGCCAAATAATTGTGGCAAGTGTACACAACATTCACACACATCTATATACCCTATATATGTATAAAAAAAACAATTTTTTTGTGGCAACTAATTGGCGCACATAATTGTCAGAGGGTGTGTGCCTGTTTCTCGTGGCAGTTTCCTTGGTTTTTCCCCCAGACCTCACAGGGCAAACCTCAAGCAAATAATTGAGGCTTTCCCCTCATAAAACTTGCCACTTTTTCCACCCAGCTTTTCCCCGAAATTAATACATTGTCTGGAGTGGCGGTTGCGGTTTTGGTGCTGTACTTCTTTTTTGCGTTCACTCAAGTTACATTTTATGCTCAGTTTATGTTATTGGCCCATTTCTATATCTATATGGGTATCTGTATCTGTATCTATAAGAGCGCATCTGCATCACTATCGTGCGGTGCGGTTTCCTTCGCTTTTTAATGCCATTCCGCGTAAAAGTACTTAGCATTACTGTTTATTGGTGAAAAGGAAAACAAGAAAACCGGGAAAACATCAAGGGGAAATTAAGTCAGTATTCTAAGAAACACTTTTGTCCCCGAAGAGCCTCCAAAAATTTGTGGAAAAATCCCAACCAAACACCTGAATATATCAATATCAAAGTATCTCCTCAACTTTGCAAAACTCCACTTGGCGGCTTCCCAACTTGTAACTTGGCTGCATCCTTGGGGAATCTTAGAATTTAATGACTGCAGCATCACATATATATAACATATATATAGACATAACTGAGAGCATCATGATGATGTAGTAGAGCAACTAAGTCTTAATCAAACTCGGTCCAGACTCGCCTCAAAGTTTTGCAAAAGGGCAAAGTTGGTGCCCATCCGCTCTATTTGGCGGCTCAAAGTTTTTATGCCCTGAATACAGTGTACATTTTAGTTACAGCCCCCAGCTTTATGGCCAAATTAATAAGTCTGATACAGCGCAGCCGCTGTCCAGCTGCAACTTTATTGAAATAAATTAAAATTGGTGCGGGGGAACGCAACAGATCCCGTTTGGCATTAACACCTAGCTACTGCTTCTACTGCTGCTGGGGAAAATCAATGCTCCTCACACCCACACACCGCCCAAGGTCACCGAGGTGTTCTCATTTAGACCGCTTTCCTCCCCGTTTCCAGCCCTTTTTTTTGGTCCTTTTCCCCGGCGGCGTGACAGTTTTTAATGAGCATTCATTACGAGCAAGCTGCTAAAGGATAGAGGAAGCTGAGCGAGGCATATGTGACAGGGAAAATATTCTTTAAATGAAAATTAAACTCAAAAAAACCAAATGCTTTTGTGAGTAAGATATTCTTTGGTGACACTTACACTTTAGGTGTAATTTCAAAATAAACTAAGCTAAAAAGGGCATCTGTAATTCGAGTTCTTGAATCAAAAGAGAGCAAAAATGGTGGCAGTGGAAAAAACAAGCAACCCAAGCCAAAAATGTTACACATACGCCATGTGTGCCAGAGGAAAACCAGGCGAGACGCCAGCAGTTGGTAGTTGGTAGTTGGTAGTTGGTGGTTTTTGTGGCCCAGTCAGCAGCAGTCTCTACTGGATATTGTTTATGTTAACAGCTTTAGTGCTGGCTTTTTTCATCTAGGAGTAAGTATGGTTATTGAGAGGAGCAAATGTTATCGAAAATATCGAGAAAAACATTGCATAAAGAACTTGGACATATGTGGAACACAGATGGAAGTTTTTAGGTGAGTTGAATTGAAGTATTTTCAACAAATATCATATATTTAGAATATCAGAACACAAATATTGCATTTAAAATTACTGAAATATCTAGAATATCTTTCTTTATTGCTGTTTACTAACACTATATCATTTTATTTCGATAAATTCAGTTAGTTTTCGATATTTTCGATAAACTAAGAGCTCAGAATAGTACTTCCCTATGTAAGCTCGACTTGTGCCAATCCCCTCGGCACATTCAATTAATGTCGTCCCGAACAAGGACTACTCAGTGTCAACAGGACCTTAGTGCTGGACTGATAAACTCCCCCGGGAGAGAAGCGCTATGAAATTTATGGGTAAACACCACGACCAGCGCATAAATCAGACTAAACATCAATAAATCACAAACTGTTGACATCCGCCATCAAAACATGGCCATTTGGGGGACATCTCGAGGGGCAATAAGAGTTTAGAAAGGGTTTTGGCCAACTGCATTCATGTCAAATTGTGGAATTCAGAGGCGGTTATGGGGTAACCCATAAACTATGGCAATTAATACGCATTTTACGGTGACAGGAATTTATTGGCAGGACAGCAACAAAAGCAAAGCAATCGGAAAAGCGATTGATTGTGCTCTCTCACACACACACACATTATTATTATTATTATTATTTTATATCAACGATTACAAGCTGAAAACATCATAATCAAACTACACAAAACCCAAAAGTTGCCCACAATCAAATGGGGGAAAAAATAACAAGAAAATAAAATAAAAAAGGAAGCTCCAAGAAAAAGGGTCAACTTACGAAATATCCCTCAAAGTTACAAATCGCTTTTGCCAAAGGCTTTTCAAACGAAATATACATATATTTCAGAATCTCTAAGGTTATGTCAATTAAATCTGAATTAGCATTATCAATAATTTAAAGGAGCTGCGAGCTTAACTCACTCAATCTCTTGTTTATAAAGAAAGCTGGAAAAGCCTTGATTGTTGGTGGAAAATAAACAACCAAAAATCACTTTATTATACCCTCGTGCGTAGCCTTTTTTCCCGACCACGCATCCAGGTCGCTTGCATAATCAGTAATTTGATTAAGTAAATGATTAAATAAAAGTGATGGATTGGCACTGCACACTGGCCAAGCCACAAACACCTTTTTTTGGGTTTGGTTTGGTTTGCGGTGAAACAAAATAAAAAATCCCCCATTAATTTCTGTTCGCTTCTTGTTTTATCTGTATTTTCTGCACATTGATTAATTCGATTGCTGATTCAATTAATTTCGCTCGTCATGGGCACACCGTGCGTATACGTAATGCGGTTATTCAGTGAGAGAGAAGCGAGAATTCGCCAAAAAGTACCTTTTAAATGGAAATTGTAGCGGCGAAACAATGCCTAATGATGTGCTAATTAGATGCCTCCAACAAAATATGAAATATAGTCTCCAAGTGCATATAAATACACCCATGTTTATGGCCATAAATCAAGTATACGCCGGGGAGTAAATAAATGTGTGGCAAGGAATTAATATCAAAGTTCATAACGATCTCTGAATAATTCTTAGCCCAATTACGAATGCATTTGCTGAGATATCCCATTGCATTTGCATTTTCCACATGCCTGCACTCATTAATTAATTAATAACTCCTGACAGGCTTCAGTTTTATGTGTGGCATCTGTAAATGGCAGCAAATCTCAAAGATGAACCTGTCAAGGCTCAAAGATTATGTGTAAATTCAGCCAGAGAAGCTCACCAATGAATACCGAATGTAATTTACTTTCTTTCTGAAAGGAAATACTTATTCTAATATATTAATATCTGGATTTACTCACCTAAAAACTTGCTTCTTGAGGCTTTGGCACAAGGCAGTCAGCCTGAAATTGCACAAAAAACAATGAAATCATCAAGAAAATAAATGAAAAGGTTCTCTGAAATTTAAGCTCTTTTATAAAATATAAATTTAACTCTATTGCAGTCTTTTAAATATTAAAAAAGCAGTTGACTTTAAATAAAACCCTCTGAAACCCTATATGCTTGCTTTGTTAAAGTCCTTGGTCTGACTGAATTTTCTTTGTTTTCCACGTAGGAAAAAACCGCAACGCATTCACTGGCTGAATCTGAATCCCAACCTGTTGCCAGCAGCGTAACCACACGGCGCAGGATGCAGGCTCAGGACCCAAAGGACCTCGGGGATCTTGGGGCTTCCTGTCCCGGAATCCCTTCGCTTTTTCCGCGCTGCTTTCCGGGGCATTGTTTCATCAAAAGGAAAAGCGGTGAAAGCGAGCCAGTTTTTCACTTGGCTGATGTTTTCTTTTCATTGGTGAGCCATGCAATAAATGCTACTGTATCTTCAAGGATATTTGTTCTGAGAGTCTCACTGAAGGTTAATTGTTTAAAGCTTAGTTTTAAATAACATTTTTAGGGGTTTCTAAGGGAAGTCTAATTTCTTCGGTATATTTATCATTTAAAGAACTATTAAAAACCTATCAAAAAGTAACACAAATGGTGATTGTGCACCTAAGCGTTATAATTAGCTTCCAAAACAGGGCATTTCCTGGTATTTATTTTTGAGAAGCACATGTCCTGGCTGCCTCACACCTCTCACGGCTTTGATGTCAATGAACCTGGAAGGTTTCTGGCTTTGGGAATTAAGGATCCAGGATCCAGAATCCTAGGAACTAGAACCTAGGACTTCTCTATGACAGCATCGTTGTTGTGTTTACCAAGAAACTCTGCACGCGCTGCTCAGTTTTTGGCGACACTAAATCCAAATTCAATATGTTGTCGGCTTAACATATTTCATCTTTGGCCAGCCTCGTTTGCATAGTCCTGCGTGTCCTTGTACGAGAGTGTGTGTGTGTGTGTGTGTGTGTGTGTAGGCAAACAACGTGTTGTGCCAATATTGACAAGGCCCACAGGCTCTTCTTTCTGCCCATCGCAATAAAAAAAAGCAAAAGAAAACATAAAAATACCAAGGCACACGAACACTCCCTCGCCCGAAAAAAATATACAAAACTATACCCATGGCAAAATAAATTATTGAAATTACATATTGCCTTTCGGTTCGGTGTTTGCCGAGGAATTAAATTTGGGCGATTATATTACCCAAGGCCAAGGGTCTAGTGTTACCCCGGACATTGATTGGTAATGAGATCACAAACTTGATTTTGATTGAGTTTCTCTCTGGGTTTGTCTTTCAGTTTGAGTTTGGATTGCCGGGTCCCAATTTTAAATTGAATAAATTAGTGGTTGACATAGAGGAAAAAAAGCAATGACAAAATAGGAAATACCAAAAGCTGTCCATCTGTTGTGGGGAAACTTGTTTACGCAAAAGTTAAAATTAACATTAGGCGAATACCTAAAAGTTACTCAACAAACTTCAAGGACTTCTCAACAAAATGGGAAAATGGTTGAGTTTGGTATACATTTTCCTGTAAAAATATAACTAATCTTTGTTTAAATAAGTCGGCAAGGGAATATAAATTAATAACTCCAACGATACTAAATTCCCTCACCCACAAAAGCTTTTAAAAATAAAATCTTCCATCTTCGAAAGAGATTACCTCCCAGATAATAGTGGAATAACTCTTGGGAAAATCCCCAAGGAAAAACCTCCATAATAACCTCTCTCGCTCTGTAAACACTCAATCTCAGAAAAGTCAAGGAAAATACTCTGCAAAAGAAAAACAAGACCAAGGCAAAGGGCAAAGACAAACTTTAGGCTGTAAAGCATTTAAAAAATTAATTGTAACCTTTCTGTTTTCTTTGTTATTTTTTCTTGTGCCGGGGTCAGCGATGCTTGATAAACCTTTCAGCGGCACTCATAAACAACCGGGGCAAGGAGTCATTAAAATCATGATTAGCACAGGAGCCACAGGTGCCATTAAGTGGAGGGAAAAGTCGGCGGGAAAAGCCAGGCAAAAGCCATGGGATCACAGGGAGCTTTGTTTGTTTGCCGCTCGACTGCGTACAAATTTTGGCAGCCAAAAAAATAACCAAAAAAAATACGAAAAAAAAGAAAGTGGCCATTGGCAAATGGCAAATAAGCCAACTGACCGACCGCACAGAGGGCTCCTCTTAATGTTTTTCTTTCAATAATTTGCGCATGAAGCCGGTGTCCGGGTCAGGAAAAAAATAAAGAAAGGGTTTTGGCCCATTGGCTTCCCGACATTGCACTTTGGGCCGATTTGTTCCTTTTTTTCTTTGTAACACAACCGCACTTGGTCTTTGCTTTGTCCGCAGGTCAAGACTCAAAAGGTTTTCCATGTCATATACAGTATATATAAATATATTAATATATATATTTAACCGGAGAGTGTGTCAGTGGCTGATAAGCCCCGCTTTTTGGGTGCAACATCAGTGGAAATCGATTTTATGTCGGCTTAATTATGTGGAAAAAATGCTCATGCTCCTTAAATATATAATTAACAAAGGAAAGCAGGGATAGGACTCCGTCCCATTGGAAAATGCGTTTGATGACAGCATTTGCCTTGGCCAAGTACGCCCTTAAAATGGTTTTTTTTAAATTAATTTTAAGCCCAGGGCTTAAGCTCTTTTTTGTGGGTTTCATCATGAATATTATTGTTTATATTGTTATATTTAATACATTTTTAAACAACAAAATAAATCAGTAATGAATCCAGTTCAATTTTTCATTTCATTTCATTTATTTTAAATACCTAAAAATACTTCTTCCCTAACTAAATTAATTACATTCCCTGGTCAAGTACCAAAAGTCACTAATTAAGTGCTTGAAATTAAATTTTATATGTATTTTTTTTCTATGAAAACTTTGGCTAAAAGCCAGCTCTCTTTTCATTAAAGCCAATAAGTGGAAGCAGAAATGTGCGAATTGGTAATGGCAATCGAAAGCGCTGTCAGCATTTTCCAGGCAAGTCAAATGAATTCATTGTTAGTGCAGTGCAATTTTCCAATTTCCCCCCGACTTTCCCTAGATCTTCCTAATCGCATTCCCCGGCTAAGTGCATTAAATATAATTTTAATAGGTTTTCCGACTCCAGCGAGGAGTCTCTGCGACTCTGATAATTGCCAGTTGTCTGACTCGAAAATCGGTGCGGGAAAAGTGGAAAAGTGGCTCAGGAAAATGCTGAGGGCATCCTGTCATATGAAAAGAGCACTTTCGACAGTTACACAGGACACTCTTATTCACTTGATTTTATATATATTTATTTACTAAATAAATGTAGTCACATTGAAAACTAATTTTAAAACACTGCAGGTTTATTTTTGATAGTTTTTCTTACACACATTTTATTCGCACCTTATGTTCTTTAAAATATCCAAGAATTGATTGTAAAAAATTCTATAAAATATGTCCTGTGCATTAACTGTGTCCTGTCTGTTTCTTATCTTTGTTTTTCAGTTTCTCTTCTCCCATGCGAGGACTTCCTGTTGCCGAAGGACTCGAGCTCAGAACTCAAAGTAAAGTCAAGGCAAAGTGCAAGTTTACTGCCTGACAAGTTTTCCAAGTCGAAGTTTTCTAGTCTTTATGCTTTTTTCATATCAAATTTTATTCTTTACTTTTATAGTTTTCTTTTTTTCCTTTGTGTTTTCCCATTTTATTCAACTTTAAGCTGTTGTTGCCAAAACTTTGACTCTGAGATGGCGGGATAGAAGCCAATGGAACTATGAAACTGCTTAAAAAATACTTCAATATTTTAACTTAAATTCACTTTCTGATTTTTTCGCGAATTGGAAATCGGGAAAACTATTGTATTCCGCCATTCGGCCGGCAGAGATTTTATCATAATCTATGGCATTAATTCCATCTGATTTGCAGGACCTGCAGGACACTCGTGATAAATGGCCGGAGATTCATTTGCCGGCAAAAAAAAATAAATAAATAAAGAAAAGGGAAAACATTGTGTTTGATTTCATTTTCACATAAGGAATTTTCGTGGAACTTGGGCTTGTTTATGCCGCCAAGGGCCCAGCGATAAATATTTGCCATTGTTTGGCTGTCAGTACGGATTGCGGCAACAATTTCCCAAGTTTTCCCTACCCCTCCACCAGATTTTCTTGGCCTTTTCTATTCTATTTTTTGTTTTTTATCTTAAAAAAAACGTATAAAACAAAGACTTTATTTACCTGAATAAATTCTTGGCGTTCCGGCAATTTGTTTTTTAATTATCGGTCACACAGCACAGAAACAAAAATGTGGAAAAAAATGTTTGTTTTGATTTATTTAATTTTTTGATGTGTATGTTTTTTTTTGAGATTTTTTCGTTTGTTGTTTTTTGGCCAGAGAAAAGTCGATGCTTGGCTCGTGTTATTTTTTTATTTATTTTTATAGTATTTTTTCTTTGTTTTTATATTCATTTCAAAAAAACGTTTTTTCAATTAGCCGGAATTTGGTGTCTCGATTTTGAACTCACGATGCTCGGTTTCAGTTTCAGTTTTCGACTCTCTGCTCTTTTCCAGGGCTGTGTGTTCGCCTTAAAAAACCCGCAACGACTGAATCAAAACAAACAAATTTCTTTGGCTTTATTCGAAAAAGTCTCCTCTGCCTGATGTTGGCGGATATTTCGGCAGTGGCAGTGGCCATGGCGGCGCTTCGCTTCGGCTTTCGGCACTCGGCACTCGGCACTTGGCGCTCGGCGCTCGGGTGACTCGGGGAGACATAACGGAGTCCGGACTCCAGAGTGTTCTCAGCTGGCACCGTTATCCGGCCGCCCGCTATCCGTCGTACAGTTTATCACTTTTACACACTTTATACGCTTTATCCGGCCTTTGCCCCAGTCTTTTGCACACAATTTTCACTTTTTATCCGCGCGTCTGCGCTTTTCCTCTTCACGTTTGTTGTTTACATGGCCTCTGCTTGACTTTTCCCCGTGTTTGATACCGTGTAACGGAGCTGGCCATGTGGCTTTGCATTTTATGCGGGCTTGGGACACGTGTGCTTGGGTCAGCGTCATCGGAGAAACTACTCAGATCGCGGCTTATCGTATGCTTCTTATGGGTTAGAGTGGGAGAGCAGAGTGGGAGAGCGAAGTGGGAGCGAAGATGGTTCTCACGAGTGCTCAAAAGTTCCCTCGACAGATCGTTCAGCCTCTCGCTCTCTTCTAAGCAAGGAGTGGAATTGCACTCAAACAGGGAGTTGCTCCCACTCTCTCCCACACTCTCTCTCTCTTTCTTAGAATGCATTCGAGTGCAAAGGAGAAGAGAAGAAGAGAGGCTCTGGCTCTGAACTTGAGCCAATTTTATAAGCTCTCGGATCTGTAAGAACTCGAAGAAGACCTGATATAACTTTACATTCTCTTTGGCAATAAATCCCACTCAAATAGTGAGTTGCTTTCTAAATTAAACCCAAATTTACAGAGTGTAATTAAATATGTTTAAAATAGGGTATTAACTAGTCGACTCCCTCTCTATCTCTGTTATTATTCCTTCTTGCTGTTGCTTTTGTCTCTGGCCGGCATTGTTGCTTTTGTTTAAGCGTTTTTTAATCTCTTAGCGCCGCGCTTTGTTTTCGAAAGGCACTGCTCTCAGCTGTTTGCGAAAGTTTCATCCTAGCAAGGTGTTTGACACTTGGCCACAACACTTACTCCGCCAGGATACCCATTCCCAGGACCTAGTCCCAGGCACAGCCACAAGCACAGCCCACATGCACAGCCACATCCACACGGGCAAGCAGATTTAACCGCATCTTCGTCCTCGGAGAACTTACTCAATCACCGGAGTCAAGATGCTGAGCTTCCCCACATAAGCAGGTAGGTGAATATCAAATGCTCTTTCTTTCGGTTTTCTTCGAAAATTCCATTTGTAGTACATTTTTTACAAATATAATGTAAGAAATTTATACAAATAAAATATACTACATATAAAATATATAATAAAATATGTTTATTTATACAAATAAAATATACTACATATAAAATATATAATAAAATATATTTATTTATACAAATAAAATATATTAAATATATAATATATATAGTAAAATAATATAGTATAAGAAAATATATTTTATATTAGTATATTTATTTGTATAAATTTCTTACATTATATTTGTAAAAAATATAAAAGCTAGCAGTCGAAAACCATTTATTTGACTTCCCTTTTAAATAATATATTTTATCAATAAAACCCATAAAAGTTTCTCAACTTGCTTTATCTTACAGAAAATTAAGTAATAATTTCGTTAATCCCTGCCAAAGTGTTTCAAAAAACCAACATACCCCACGACTGCAGGACATACTCTCGCCGGGCATCTAGAAAATTTGTTTTATGATTTAAGCTATGCGGTTTCTTTTTATGCTTTCGAATTTTACTTGCTTGGCATTTTGGTCATTGACTTTTTGCCTCCCAAAAAAAAAATAAATAAAAATGCGCAAAAATGGCAAAAGTCATTAACTTTTATGTAGGGGCGCGAGCGAATATGGAAGAAAAGCTTTGCCGTGGAAATGCAATTTCCTTATCAGTTTCATTCTCGTCATTTGGCTGCTTTTTTTAATTCCCCCGCTCGGTTATTTCTGGGCGAATTTCTATTGATTCCCTGATTCGATTTGGGCCTGTGATTGATCCTTTGTTGCCCCTCTCCCCACCGTTCTCTCTTGGATATTTTCGGCCATTGCCAAGGATAACAATTAGAGGAAGGACGAGAAGAAGGGCTGCCCTTGGTTCACTGACTCTCGTCTGCTGGAAAATTCCACTTGAGAGTGTCCCCCACCGCCACTTTTGCAGGATTAAACAAAAGGAGAAATTGACTTCCTTGTCACATTTCCGACCTGTATCCATATTTATAACCATTGTCAGTGGTTGCCACGGAGAAGTCTTGAGTTTTGAGGGGGAAGAAAGAGTCGAAGGAGCCACTCGATTAGATCCCCCGTTTTATGAGTGCAATCTGGCGAGTCCTGGCATCAATAAGTCCTGCTTCCTTCCCGGCTAAGTGGCACTGCCCAAAATCAGGACTAACTTGGTTCCAGGAGAGCGTACCTGCACTCTATCTTCATAAATAATCATCTGTTAAAGTTACTTTATATTATTTATATCATTTTCTTTACTTCTTAACCTTTTCTTTGAGTGTTGCTCTCCTAAAAACATATTGAACTTTCCCCACTTGAGTCTTATTAATCAAATTGGAAACTAAAGCCTTTGGACCTACGTATTATTCTCTGTCTTTCTGTCCGACTCAAGGAACGAATGTGAATACAAACACGGCTTGCTTTATGTCTCCCCCCAAAAGAAAAATTCCAGAACACGTTCGCCTGTCACAGATTTTGGCCCCGGGAAAAAGGACTCTCACACACATCGGCTTTGATATGCAAAGTTGCAGTTTCTGTTGAATTCTGCGTGTTGCAGTTGCATTTACTGCTGGCATTATAATTGCATTTCTGCACTGCTGCCTGGGGCCACACAGATACGGATACTGTAGGGATACTGTGAGGATACTGTAGGGATATGCGCCTCGCATCGGTATTTCAGTCAGGAAGTCGTTTCTGTCAGGACAAACGGAACGGCAAGATGAAGGAGCCACAAAATTCAACAGAATCAGGACTCGATAATGTGAGCACAAAGGGAAAGAGCCATCATCTGCCAAGAAATATATATCGAAGAGGGGCTTACTAACATTTAGATGGTAAAAATTTAAATATTATATTATTTGTTAACAAAATAAACTTTGGAGAAAGAGGTAGCTTATCGTAGTAAATTTATAAACTATAAAAACCATCTTGATTTAGTTTTAGGTACAAGAAAGGTCTATTTAAATAATCTATATTCAATTACACAGCCTTGTTTAATAAATCTTATTTAATCCCCTATCGACTCAGCATACCCCCTTCCAGATATTAGTACAGGGTATTGAGTGCAAGTCGGTTTGAATTCAATTTCATAGAATTTGGTCAGCACAATTCCGGGGACAAAGGCTCAAAGTGATTGATATGCCTAGGGGACAGCGCTCTTGCATTGCATGTCTCCGGAAGAGACCGGCTGGGACAGCGGCCAAGAGTCGTCCTGCGGGTCCTGCGGGTCCTGCAATGGGGTCCCAATTATGGCAGAGGTGTTGCTGTCACTGCACATAGCCAGGATAATCCGATTGGAAACTGTACGCACACTCGAACGGACACAAATCGCATCAGGGAGTGCCGCAATTTGCATTGTTCGGCAATCGGAATCGGAATCGAAATCGAAATGCTTTCCTGCCAAATCCGATGTCAAGTGGGGAATCCTTAAATCACTTGCCACAACACCTTAATCCCATGAACATGTCGCTTCTTTTCGCTTTTCAATTTGAAACTTTTCGCCGCTGTTAAATTATCCGTGTGTCCGATTAATTTGTATTATATATATAAGCATTCCCATTATCCTCCGAACAATTACCGGCCATATCCGCTTATTAATTGGGCTCCCAGCTTAATGTATTGCTTTTATGAGTTTCAGCCTGGATGAAGGCATCAATATCCGCAACAGTTTTAATATTAATATTAACATTAAGGGAAACTTGCTTTGGGATGCCGAAGATTATACACCCTAACAGTTTGCAATTAACTTATAGGTTTGTATACGGAAATAAAGCTCAATCAAACTTAAAATTTAAATATATATAGTTTATGGGGTCGACTCCTTCACTTCATTACAAGCTTCTACTTAAACTATAATACCCTGAAAGTGTATAAAAATTGTCTTTGATTTCAGATAAATCCAGCATACGTGGCGTATACTTAACGTGAAAACCCTCAAATTAAGTATACGCCATGTGTGTCTGAAGGAAGAATTGTTTAAGAATTTATAAAAATACATAGTTTCAGTTAAATAGCTTTTTTAAGCAATTAAATTATAAGATCGAATCGAAAACGTTTAAATATTTGATATTTGTTATTATTTTTATATTAAAATTTTCTTGACACATCAAAGTTTCAAAAACTCATAGCTAAGCCAAAAAATCATAAATTTTAATTTGGAAAGCGGTGTCATGCTAATATAAATTGCATTAACAAATCTTCATACTTAGTTTAAAATGTAAAACAATTTACATTTTTATCAATTTTTGACATTTTTAACGATGTAACCCCTTATAAAATTTAAAAAAAATGGCCAAAAATAGGTTTTTCTATTATATGCCTAGAAAGATTCGCCTGTTGATGCTGATCAAGAATATATATGATTTATAGGGTCGAAAATGACTCCTTCATGAGTTACAAGCTTCTGACTTATAGTGCAATACAATTTTTTGATCGAT